TTATCAATTGTCGACAAACAATTTTCACAGTACACTTATACTCATATAAGATGACTGCTTGACAACAATATACATGTTCACTTGTCCGTAATGCAAGACTGACTTATCAATTACTTATGCTTGCTGTCTCATCAGGACGCTAAAACGATCTTATGAGAAAATATTAAACCAGTCAGTGAGAACAAACAAGATGAATAAGCAAAGGTGAAAAGTGGCTAGCAGTAAAATCCGAGACACGTGTTTCGTAATATTTGGGACTCATCGGATGAATATACCTGCGAACGGTACTGAGTTGGAATCTTACAGTGAACATCAAATACTATGACATGATCCTATGTCGAAGTCATCAAACTCAAAGTTTCCTTTCTATTACCATAAACAATTGATGATTGACCGATAGGAGAAATAGACACACTAACTTATATGTTAATATCGAATTTTGTGTTATGATGACTAGACCATTCCTTGAATTCTTCTGAAACCAGAAAAATGCTTTAAAAATAGCTTTGATAATAAACCATTTTAATAATTGAGATGGTCAATTGAATCTACGCCAACATGGAAGCTCTGGATGACCGTTTCGTCCTACAATGAAACTCCTCATCAGTGCACATCCACCTTCTGTTTACAATTGTACAGAAAGACTAGTTGTGTGGTGTATGATACTTACGCTTGTAGATATAAGTAGTATGTAGCCGCTATTGGAAGTGGAATGTCTGGCTACGTCCAGTCGTCCACAGTCACCCGAACTTGTAATTATTATTCATAATACTACCATCATTACATAATATACATAAATTAATTACCTACTAATAAACTGTATAAGTTAAGTGTATGATGATTCTAAGGGTTGTATCAAACTGTATAATAACAATAATAATCAACAGTAACTCATAATCATTCCACTTTTAATTGAACGAATCAAACTTCCTCAATCATACGTGTTCTAATAGACATTAGGTCAATTATATGGACTTCATTTGACCAAATCTGTTCGCATAGGAAATTCGGAATTGTTAACATTGACTAAGTCACTTCATGAGAGTAAATTATATAACAAACTGGAATGTTGAAAGTATGGAGTACATGATGAATACTTGCTCCGTAAACTATGAAAATAGGTTTCATGTTATTTAACACTCATCAGTAAGATCTATCTATAATCTTGAGGGTATTGATGTTACTTTGAGGATTCGAACCAAGTCATCCAGCTTTATAGTCCATGACGTAACCACCTAGATATTCACATGTCATGCAGACTTAAGAAAGACTACTTCCAAGCACATAATATTTCATTGTAATCCTCTTGATATCTAGTTGCTCAAAACTTTAGTCGTATTCGCACAACGCTAAAGACTGGGTTTACACATCATTGGATACTGCTCAATAATTCTGTATAAATATGAATTAAAAAAAGACAAACATTGTTTGATTAACTAAGAGAACTTCAGATGAGTTGAAGTGTTACATTTCTATTATTCGCTTCGTATTATTTTACATTCGTTTCACCCGGACAGTTCTAACACTTTTCAAATGAGACAAAGTCACGACAATTTATTCTTCTTAACGAGCTAATTACTTATTTAGGCAAAGATGGATAGTGGCTGGTAGTGGAACACAGTTTGACGCGTGTTTCGTTCTATTCGGAACTCGTCAGTTGGATGTAACAGCATCTCAGAGTTGGTGTTCACTATGGGAATCGAATCTAGTATCGTTCGTGTTATCCACTTAGCTACTGAGTCTTGAAAGCTACATGCCTGTGCAATGGGGGTAAGTTTAAATTCAGTTGGTATTATTTTACATCAAACTTTCCATTGTTGTTAAGGACTGCAATTTATCAATCTCTTATTACCATACGTGCATCCTATACGGATTGCCTCGATATCACCCTAATTCACAAGCATTATAAACAAAGATAGTAAGTGACTAGTAATGAAATCCAAGACACAGGTTTCGTCCTATTTAAGACTCATCAACTAGATAGATCTACATTCCAGTGTTCATCTATCACTTCACGACTCAAACCAATACCATTCACCTACTCAACCACTAAATCTGTCATCCATAGAAACATTCAAACAAACACTTCTTGACTGTCACTTTTTTCATTTCTCCGTGTATGCAAAAATTAAAAGGATTTTGAAAGAAAAACGTCATTGATCATATTGATTGATTTTTTCTATTTCCTCCTTATTTTTTTCTTCATTTTCATCATTCATTGAGAAAATGAATATCTACACGTTATACGAAGATAATTAATCCAATTTCGTTTCTCTTAGAGATAAGAGAAACATTGTGGTGGGGTTATTTTCACATTTGTAAACTTCATGTAAATGTAGAATGATCTTCAAAGAATCCGGTGTATTTTTCTTTTTTCCGTCTCTCTCCCTTTTTCGTTTCCTTCTTTTCTTTAATACACATTCTCTGAAGAAGTAGATTATCATGAGTGACGAAACATTAGATCTAATTTTATTTTTAATCTATGCATTATGACATCTAACTCCACCTGTAGCTCTTCTACAATTACTGACTGTCCTAAGCATAGGTAATTTAGCAGAGTTGAGCATGAGATTAGCGACCACATTCTATAGGAAGCTTACACTCTCTGAAGAAGTAGATTATCATGGGTGACGAAACATCATAAGATCTCTTTGTTTTTAATCTATTCATTATGACATCTAACTCTACCTATGAATAGGTAATGGAGGAGGGTTGGGTATGAGTTTAGCTAACCAGAAAACATAATTCAATTGTGATATCTATAAATATATTATAATGATTATTGATGAATGGACTACCCGAATGTGAGTGAAAGTGATAGAGAACTAACATGAAGATCAGTTCTAGTAGTGATCTTCAAAAGGTTCGGTGTAGTTTCCTTTTCCCTAATACAAATTCTCTGAAGAAGTAGATTATCATGAGTGACGAAACATTAGAAGATCTAATTTTATTTTTTAATCTATGCATTATGACTTCTAATTCCACCTGTAGCACTTCTACAATTAATGATTGTCCTAAGCCTCGGTAATTGAGGAGTGTTGGGTACGAGATTAGCGAAAGTGATAGAGAACTACCGTGATGATCAGTCCTAGTATTGAAGTGAAATATTGCTGTAATCAATATAGGCTTTCAACTTGATTCATTTAAAGTAACAAAACTTCATTTATTTTATTAGAGAAAGATATATATCCGCCTTTAGAAACTATTTGGAAAGGGGAGGGATTTGTGAAAATTTGAGTAATTCAATGGTTGAATTTATCAGTTAAATAAAGCTAGTCGATTACGGAAATCCTTAAATCATTGGACAATGGAGGAATTTCGTGGACTGCTTGAAGTTGGACATACACACCAATGAGTGCTGATCGGTTAAACGGTCTACAGTTTGAGCGTTCGTGCGCGAGACAGAGAAAATACTCCAAAAGTAACTGATATATTTTCACTGAAATGGAGAGGAATTCGGATATATCTGGAAAACACTTTGGTTTCCAATAGCAAAGCTTATCTGGATAAAATATTTACCATTCGATTAACAGGGACAATAAAAACATACAAATAATGAATGCACATATATGCATCGGTTCAAGTTGCCATACCTCATTAGCGCAGCAAGATGAATACCAAATTCATAGAAGTAGTTGATCCAATGGTAGTAATGTATAAAGGAAAGATTGCATACAAGGATATAGTACAGGTAGAAAGAATTAGTTCACAAAAAGAAAAATACGGAACGATTTTAATCTTATAGTTTAAAGGGGACAAAAAGTGTATACACCTACGCTATTATGATCGATTCTGAGCCATGTCACCAAGAATCTACAACCATTAGGGTTAATATAGTCGCTCGGACCCCAACCAAGTAGTCTGCATCTACCATCATGGCTAAGACTAGAAGTTAGTCAATTCAAGCACTGACTATATATAAATATTTATGATGAAAGCAACATATCATAAATTATATTGAGTTTGAGACAACTGTCTTGTTATACCAATCAATTATGAGATCGTAGCTCAAAATGATTCGTGCTAAAGTACCTGAAAATGACGATAGGTAACAAGTGTACAGATGCCGCCAATAAGAATGTCAGTTATTTATGGTGTATAGTTAATTCTAAACATGAAATAAAATCTTTACTAAATATGAACCATAATTCCCATTGGAGCCTCTCTTAGGCTACTGCCGGTCTTAAGCCTAGATAAAGAAGGAAGTCTGGGCATAGGGTTATCGACCTCATCCGGTAGGAATTATTTATTTATTTATTTGGACACATGAATATTGGTACAAGAGAGCGCCAATATATATGCGCCACACAAAACAATGAAAATTCGAGAGGAATACAAAGAAAGAAAACAAGGCTAAGGAGCGCAACAAAAAAAGAGAGAACAATAACGGAGAGATTGGTGTAAGGTAATGTGCTAGTAATCAGGGAACGCAAAGCTACAATCGGAAGAAATCTTTCAGGTAAGGGAGACACAACCACTTTTTATGAAGAACGTAAAAGAAGGTTACAGCAGGATCGCCACTGGCTTCTATTCTGAGCCAAATTTGATAACGTCTCTAGCCACTGTGTAGCACCATCTCTCAGACCCCAACCAGGGAGTCGTGAAGGACCAACACAAGCCAGTCCTTTGCAGCTTTCTTTCATACCACGACACCATGTCATGCACTGACCACCTCTCCGCTTCTTCCAACCAGTCCCAGAGTCGGCAAATAATGCACAACGTGGAATTCTCTGGGACGACATTCGTAGAATATGTCCAAGCCACCGAAGTCGGTGTTTCAAGATGGTAACACCAATTGAATTATCATCTCTGTGCCCGAACACACGATGCCGAACCTCTGCATTACTGACATGGTGTTGCCACTGAATGTCAGCAATCCTTCGGAGACAGCGATGATCGAACACAGAGTCGTCTAACGTCCTCAACTCGGAGAGGCCAGGTGTCACAAGCGTAGAGCAAAACTGCTCTCACCGACGCGTTGTAGATCCGACCTTTTACAGCCAGACTAACATCACGAAGGCGCCCATCCGGTAGAAAACTGATTCTTTAAAACGCTGTACATGACCCATGGAACTTCTTTGATCTTAGAATATCTCAATGCATATTTGAGCATCTGGACAGTCATAACGGACAATATACAATTTATTTATATATTAATTGGTCTATATATAGTTGCTGTAAATTGTTCAATAGTACTTCGAACTATGACATACACTGAATCCTTACATTTCCAATCACACTATTACTACTCACATGTAATATGTAACAAGAGTAAAATAGCACAAATTATGATTTCAACATTAATTGTTGAATTCATGAATCAATTGAAGATTGACCACCATGAAAAACCTGGAATCACTTGACAGCCGTTTCGTTCTACTGCGAGACTCCTCAGTAGTGCAAATCTACGCACCCGACCCATAGGATTCGAACCCAAAACATCTTGGTCTCACACGCGAATACTTAACTATCTAACGGTTCCAGATAAAGATCTTTGTTGAAACATGTGAATGATAGAAACTTTTATATTATCGATGAAAATATATAGTAAACTTTGAAACATTTCTCAAATATGTTCATTATGTACTTGTGTGTGTGTGTGTGTCTGAGTTTTTGTTGTTCGTCGTAAATTATGTTTTTTCTCTTCTTTTTTATCTTTTCTCCTTTTCTATTTCCTCTTACTTAAAAATCACTGAATTGATGAAATTGTGAGAAAATTCAACAAAAATGATGAAAATGACTGTCAACGTAGATGAAGATGATAATGTCCAAACTCTTATGATCAACTAAGAGTTACGTAATCATTATGGGATAATGATTGTAGCTATAACAGAATAGAATTGATTCATATACCATAGTAACAATCAGGATGCTGAATGAATAAATAAGGAATCCTGTAAAAGGGATCGTGGATGCACACTGCTGAGGAGGAATTGATCGTCAAGTTCTTCCAGGTTGTCGATTATGCTCTGGCCCTCATTGACTCATGAATTCAACTATCAAGATTTATTAACTGTTTCGTTCTACTGACTGTGAGGGCTTTTACTGTCATCTTTGATATTAATGACTGAAGTTCATCAATCCAGATGTATTGATACCGTTATCATCTACAAACTGACCTCATTTAGTATGACTACTGGCAATGGAATCAACGATAGGACGATTCATTCTGATTCGGACTTCCCTACAGTGTGTACATTGGTTTGAGTTGAACAATATACGTGATCACATGCGTTTACACTAAAAGGTTATAAGCTATCGAAATACTGGATTCCAAAATTGGTACGATTATCCATGTAGCGAGTTCTTAATATGATAAAATATGACTCATCGTTTTCAGCACTGATCATGGAGAAGAATTTTTTAATGAATTGTGCACTACACAGTAATGTCTTCATCTGTATCTCAGTCAGCTAATTTCACATCTCGAGTAGGATGTCGGTAGTTTTAGTGTGATGTGTGCTACTCAATCCCGACAACTATAAGTAGTATGTATCACTAATCGAAAGTGGAATGTTTGGAGACAGAAAATTTGGAAAATCGAAAATAAGAGGACGAGAATGGAATACAAACTAGTAATACCTCATTCAGACTATTAACCTCATTCATTGTTACTACCATTAAAACACAATTATTACATAATGTACACAAATCAATTACCTACTGACAAACCATATATGTTGTGAACTTGAATTACTATCCTATTGATATCTATGGCTAGAAAAGTAGGTGTATGATGATTCCCAGTGTTGTTTCACGATGTAACTCATAATCATTCCACTTTTAATGGAACGAATAAAACTTCCTCAATGTTAGATCTTTCGAAGTGTCCAAGTCACCCGATTGAGATACGCGCAAAACCGAAGTTTCCAAAACAACGATTTGTCTACAATAGCGTTTCTTCATTGAATAATACACAAAATGTAGTTATAAACCTCAACTTGTGAGGTGTCTGGGGCGTTTAAACACTTCGTTCAAGTATGTAAATAAAAAAGCTTCCTGTAACAGTAACATAAAGAATAATTACAGCATACGATAGTACAAAGGACAGCTGATAGCTGTGTCTAAATTAGATAACAGTTTATGAACAACCGAAACCCGAATCAAGAGCAAAACATTATGGAACCTGGTGCGTTTGTAACAGCTTATGTTGGTTGGTTAAGAGTTGATCCCAAACAACCAAGCATATGCCAAAACAGTATTGTTCAAGTATTCATTCACTTCCTTATTTTGTATAAGCGTTATATTCCCTATTATCTTATATTGAATGTTGAGAGCCTTCGTTTGTCTGAACAGATAATCCCACGCTCCACTGTGACTGCGCGAAGATCGAAATAAATACCTATTCACTACTTGTCTGGTTTCTTCTATCAATAGCACGAGGGTTACCTTAAGGCACGAAACTAGTGAGCCCTTTTTGAACACAAATTTAACCTCATTTCTGTTATTAACATTTTTTCTTACTTACTCGTAAAAGTAGACCTGATTATCCGTACACTAAGTTGAGTATATAACTAGTTTATTCCGTATTATGTTAAGTTATTCGTGTTATAGTAACCATTTTTCGTGCTAACTTTATTGCTATATTTGTCACATACCTCATGTCAGACTCAATAGAAACCCATAACATGGAGGATTTGTCACATGTGGAGATAGACACTGTTATGACTACGAAATCCCGACTTCCAGAATTTGATCGTAGTGATCCTGAGTTGTGGTTTGCTCACTAGAGCATTATTTCACGAGACACAATATCAAATCTGAAGGGATTCGCTATAGAGACTTGTGTTCTATCCTTCCTCCTTCAGTCGCCAAAGAAGTCCGTGACTTGATTTTAGATCCACCATCACCACAACCATACACCATCTTAAGACGAGAGATAATGAACCGTTTATCATTATCAGATAGTCAAAGAATCCAAAGACTTTTTCAAGGTGAAACACTAGGTGATCGGTCGCCGTCACAGTTTTTACGTCACCTCCAAGTCTTAGTGGGTGATAACACAGTGGGTGAAGCAGTCCTAAAACAAGGATGGATACAAGCTCTCCCATGCTACGTCCAACACTGTTTGGATGCACAAGATCCTGAAACCTCATTATCTCATTTAGCGCGTATAGCCGATAGAATAATGGAAAGAGGTCCTCCAACTGGATCAGGCACAATAAATCACACACAAAAAGTAGAATCAGCAAAAGACCCCGTCATAGAAGGACTCATTGCGAGTGTTAAGAGTCTCACTGAGGCTGTCACCAGAATGCAAATGGGTCATAGAAACAGGAGCAGGTCACCACAACGACCACGATCCAAGTCACAAATGTCCAGACAATCTGGGCAGTTTTGTTGGTACCACTGGAAGTTTGGTGTCAACTCAACCAAGTGCATGCAACCATGCGCCTGGCCTAAGCATAATTCTAAGACAGCGGGAAACGAGTAACCCCTCCCCAGGTCGCGACGACTGAGGAGGGGCGCCTAAACAGTCGCTTGTTTTATGTTAGAGACAGAAACTCTGGCTTGAATTTCTTGGTGGATACTGGCGCTGCTCTTAGCATCATCCCTCAAAATAAAACTGAGATTAGTCGAGAAACATCATCAATTACACTTCAAGCTGCAAATAAAACTAAAATCGCGACATTTGGGCAGAAAACTTTAACCCTAGATTTGGGGTTCAGGAGGCAATTCCCTTGGGTTTTCACGGTAGCCGACTTAGATCTGGCAATACTGGGGATGGACTTTCTAGAGAGATACGAATTTCTAGTTGACACCAAGAAACGGCGATTAACACTAAAAGAAACTTCGTATTACACAAAAGGCGAAGAAAGTCACATCAGCTCTCTTAACTTGATTCAAACTCCTCCAGTAACAACAGCGAAATTCCAAGATATACTCGCGGAATTTCCAAACTTAACTAAACCAAACCCACAGCCTTCCAAAGACAAACTAAAAGTAAGTCACACTATCAAAACCGAAGGTGCACCGGTGTTTGCAAAACCCAGGAGACTAGCACCAGATAAGCTCAAAATCGCTAGGGCCGAGTTTGATTATATGCTACAACTGGGTATTATCCGTCCCTCTGATAGTCAATGGGCATCCCCTTTGCATATGGTCCCAAAGAATGAAGGTGACTGGCGACCGTGCGGGGATTACAGAGCCCTCAACCGTCAAACCGTACCAGATAGGTACCCAATACCGCATATCCAAGATTTCACAAACGGTTTACAGGGTATGAACATATTCACTAAAATTGACTTAGTCAGGGCATATCACAATATCCCGGTGGCTGATGAAGATATTCCCAAGACAGCTATTACAACACCCTTTGGCTTATTCGAGTTTGTACGCATGCCATTCGGCCTGAGAAATGCGGCACAGACATTTCAAAGATTCATAGACAACCTACTTCGAGATATGCCATTTGCGCAGGGGTATATAGACGACTTGTTAATTGCCAGCCCCGATTTGCAATCACACGAACAGCATGTACAAACAGTGTTGAAAAGACTGGATGAACATGGAATAAACATACATCAAAGTGTGTTCGGTGTTCAAACTTTAGAATTTCTCGGTCACACAATAAGCCCAGAAGGGATTAAACCTATCAAAAAAGAAGTAGACACCATCAAACAATACCCCATACCTAGTTCTCTAACACAACTGAGAAGTTTTCTAGGTCTAATTAACTTTTATCGCAGATTCATACCAGGTTGTGCACAATTAATGCAACCTTTGACAGATTCACTCAAAGGAAAACCAAAAGAATTCAAACTGTCTTCTGACGCCGTCGAAGCTATTAAACAGCTTAAAGATAAATTAGCTCAAGCAACTACGTTGGTGTATCCGAATTCTTTTCCCCACTTGCTTTGATGGTGGATGCTTCAGATAAAGCAGTAGGCGGTACCCTTAACCAACTGGTTAAAAACGCCTGGAAACCAATTGCTTTCTTCTCAAAAAGACTCGCTCCAGCAGAGACAAGGTATTCTACCTTCGGGCGAGAACTTCTTGCAATCTACCTAACCATTAAACACTTCCGACACATGTTAGAAGGCAGGGAATTTATAGTCTTTACGGATCACAAACCACTAACGAATGCACTAAAAGCGAGAGCTGATAAATACTCACCTCGAGAAGTCCGACACCTTGACTATATATCACAGTTCACAAGCGATATCCGACATGTCAAAGGTCAGGACAATCAGGCGGCAGATGCTTTATCTAGGCTAGAAATGAACGTGCTACAGCAGTCTACAGTAAACTTCGAGACGTTGAGAAACGAACAAGAGCAGGACCTAGAATTACAAAACCTACTTAAAACAAACAATTCAAGTCTTAATTTAAAACAGTTCCCATCACCTATCGATGGTATTCTAATTTACTGTGACACGACCAAGGCAATGCCGCGACCTTTCGTTCCCAAAAATATGCGAAAGTTGATATATAATAACTTTCATTCTTTGTCTCATCCTGGCGCAAAAGCTTCAACAAAACTAATCAATGCCAGATATATATGGCCGAATTTACAGAAGGATGTACACAAATGGGTTAGAGAGTGTTCAGCATGTCAACAATCAAAGATTAATCGTCACACAAATTCACCCATAGGTGTTTTCTCGCAACCAGATGCACGTTTTGCC